ATATATATATATAATAATATTTACAATGATGTCAGTGATGTCAATGGTAATCATGATAATTATAATAATACAAATGACAGAACATTATTAGGTTTGCTATTATTATGAATGATACCTATAACAACATTCGTGTGGCCCTAGCATTGACGAGGGCATCATTTTGCTCCTGGTCGTCTTCAATTGTCAGTGGAATTGTACCACGTCTAACAAAGAATGTTTAAATAATGTTGATACTTCTTATAAGGACATAGGATTATTTTTCTTTTAGAGAAAAGCAAGCTGAAATGGCATACCTATTTAAAAAATCTAATCTGGGATTTTAAAATTCTTTGCTTGGGCGTGCAAACACATTTGAATCACGAACTTAACATTTAACTTTCAGAACTGCCTCATCCCCATCATGGTTGGAACAGTTTTAAAGAATAGACACTTTAAGGTGGCCGAAAATGTTCTCAGACTGTAAAAATACGTTTTGAAATAATTGTTACCAGTGTTCCTTCGACGAAATGATTGGGTATATCCCATATGGGGAAACCAGGGTTCCTCAATTGTATGTGATCCAGACCCGTAGCCAGGGGGGTTTTTATGGTTCGGGCGAACCACCCTTCTCTAGCGAACCCCCTCGAATTTTTGAATGAGTCCCACTCGGACGGAATTTCTTTTTAACTTACCCAGTATTAAATCAAAATTTAGCACCTAATTCATTATTTGGTCACCCGTTTTCAAATTTTAGCCTACAATACAAGCCTACATTCATAGAATATCTCAGCTTCAGAAGTTCGGAGATTTAAATTGAACGCAACTCCGGCAAACCATGACTCGATAGCTCACATAAGGATCATGGCAAACATCGATAAAAACTTCCACTGGCCTTTGGCTGAATGTTTTTAAGAAATGTACCAACCGGTAAAGAAACCGCTGCTCTCTGCCTGAATAGTGAACTGAAAAAATAATGATGCAGCAACACGCTTGGTCAACTTGTAAAAATTTAGAGCCTTCTGTTGTTTGCCCATAAAACAAATTTTGGAGTGTTATACAGTACGATTTCAAAACATTGTCATCGTAAAGAAACAGCTATAATATTGAAAACAAACAACTTGAAACAAAATCGGTGTACGGATTTAAATAAATATTTACAATATATTTTAATGGTCAACTTATCAAATTTTACGACCAATTTTTACATACATTTGTGAGTGACGGTGTGTAATAGACATGCAAAACAAACATTAGCGGTTAGCTGTACAGTGTAATATCTTTGAATATCATTTTAGACTGATTCATTCATATGCTTGGTCACCTTGTAATCATTTAGAATGCAACAGTTTTTAATAGGTCTGTATCTCTACACTTCTAGACGTAGTACCGTATCAAATTATAGTTGCCATAGACCCGGTTTCATACACATTGTTAATTACTCCTATGCAATACTGTAGGCCCCTCTGGTATAAAATTGACAGATCAATTAGACACTCTGTAAAGATCGATTATGCCCTTTTATATAATAAGGCCCGGTAGGCCTAATGTACTGTGTGAAGTACTGACTTTGTTAACATCGAATGGGTGAAATTGCGCACAAACTTCAAACTCTTGGCCTAACATACAATGCCAGAGGAAAGGATATCACGTTTTAATCACCAAAAAGGATTTTCCACGGACGCACAGAGTAATAGTGTTTCAAATTTTCTAATAGTATGGCCCAAAGCGAACGAGTTTCTGGTCTCGAAAATCAGACACTTCGTTAAGGCTTATACAGTACAAAATACTGTACAGAATATGATTCATTGAAAAAGCTTTAAAATGAAGGACTTTTAAATGAAGTTTATATACAGTACTAATATTTTGCGAATCTTGGGTTTTTTAAAAGCAATCTTGGGATTTTTTAGACCCAATCTTGAATTTTGATTTTTCCTAGTGGTCACGCTGCATTTAGAGACAGAATTATACCCCGACGACATCAAACTAGTGTAGGCCAGACTTAAGTACAGTAGGACGTACTACTATGCCTAGGCTTTTGTTGTAACAGTTGAAGTGCATGTACAGGATGCGCCATAGGCCTATATTTAAAAAAAATAATACATTTGGTTATATAATTATTATTGGTTGGCCTGGGACCAGGCAGGCAGTACCGTACAGCTTTGCCGTCGAAAGTCCAGGAATTCGACGATGACGTCAGTGCACATGTTTACAAACGCCATTGATTGGAATGAAAATAGACGCGCTGAATTTCGTTTATTTTATGAAAGATACCGTAGTATTTATCGAACATTTATCTATATAAAAACAAGATTAATATTGTAGAAATTGTATTTCTAAAGATTCATATAATTCATATGGTAGACAATAAATATTCAGTAAGATACTAAAAACGATTATTAATTTTGAAATGTGCATCAAATCTCAGCTATTATTAATCAGCAGTTTGTATTAGGTTAAAGTCTTAAAAACAATAATTTCGAATTAGGCCTAGTAAACAAATAATTGTAATTAAAGTTTAGGTTCCCATGATGTCAGATGACGTTTTCAATATGATGCTATATTTTGGGCTCTGACTTAATTTCGGATGGCCCTGTCAGTTGTAGTAAATCTTTGTAAATTACTTTATAGGCCTATATAATAGCTTGTTTTGTTTTATAATAATAAATGTGTTGAGTGTATTGATATTGATTATGCGATGAGGTGTTTTTTTTTTTGTCTTTCGGTGTGATTAAAACATGCCAATTCTCAGAAAATATTTTCAAATTTTATTATATACCACCTTTTATTACATAGACCTTTTTAAAAAACATAACTGCTTTTATAACATTATATAGACCCCGACCCCACCAGGGCCTTATTCAGTGTCCTGAACCCCACGCCCAGAGAACCCCACGCCCAGAGAACCCCCCTTGAAATGACCTGGCTACGGGCCTGTGATCACTGTTTCGTCTCCTGCCCCAACCCCAATACGTTTGTCATTCACACCTGTAAATTGAACGTATAAAAATGAATGAGGACATGTAGAAGGCATCACGGGCATATATTATCTCAGTATCACTTTCCAGAACAATATAAAACGTAGGCCTATCTTGGCGTTGGTACAAAAATGATACCCCTTTATTAATAAATATAAATGTATAATTATGAATACCTAGTCTTGTCCCTGATGTAAAATTGTTTTTATATATTTTTTATATTCTATTAGGCCTACATAAAAAGTAATCAGCTACTACAAGATGGGTGTTGTTCATAGTATCGCGAGGCAGACCAAGTTATTACCTACTATGGCGGCTGATTTTAAAGTTATTTTTTACAAAAAAAAAAAAAAAAAAAAAAAAAAAAAAAAAAAAAAAAAAACTTCGAGTCACCCTCTGTATCTTATTAAATTAACCGCTCGGAGTTTTTCGTCAATATGCTTTTTGTTTCTTAAAAAAAAAAATCAGTTTTTGTAGGACCATTTTTTCTCAGGAGCATGGCTTAAATGTACCGCTATCGGTTGCCATTTGGCTAAATATAGGCGTTGAGCTCACTGCTTAGTGTGGCTTTCAAAGCCGGAAGTAAAAGCTGTGCAAAGTCCAAGCGGCAACGTTTATTCGATCGACTGCCCGACAACAAGTCTGTTGAGTGTAGTTACGCTAGTATTTAGTCCACGCGAGGAGGTTAGGTTTACGTCAATGATTCTTGTGATTTTATAACAGTTAAAATTTAAGATTTAAATGTCAGGAGAAATACACAAATCATGGCTTCAATCTACAGGTGGATTACATATACTTTAGTAAGTAGAAGTACCTTGCTATTATTGTAGATCGTAGCCTAGCCACTCACAAAGGTGGTCAAGAATGAGGATTGCAATTAGATTTAATTAATTACAAAAAATACAATAAAAACTTATATAATATAAAAATAATATATAAAACATTATAATATAAATAAATAAATAAAATATATTGGCCTACCCCTGTATTGCCAGTTGGAATTTTTTCTGCTAATTTAATGAACAGTTTTTTCAAGTGTATTTCATTCTTAATTTAAATTCCTGTTTATATTAAACAACCTGAACTTTTTAATTTTGACATTTAAATCGTGTTTTCTGTATAACTACGCATATCTGGACATCATCGCAAAGAAAAATTCAACTTGACGTAACATGCATGTGACGACGTTAGGAGAGGCTTTGCCGTTTGAGCTTAAAAAATTCAACTTGTCGTAAGAATCGTTACCAGCTTATTTTGTATGCGGCCCAGCACGATCAAGACACGGCTGTTTTTGTCCAACTTAACAGTCGTATGAATCGTAAGAAATTCTGAACTTTACTTCGACAGGAAACCAGGAAACACCCCCCCCCCCCCCCCCTTTAGAAGGACCTGGCTACGGGCCTGGAATTATACTGTAATCAAAAAAGCAGTTAAAATATATGACAATGAATAACCAACATTGCAAAGAACAGTTGTATGCGAATTATAATAAATAATGCAATTTGTACAGTATATATATGGCAACTTTAGCAAATGTTTCAGCTGGGGGGCTAAAATGCCTGACACAATTAATTATACAGCCTGACACAATTAATTATACAGCCTGACACAATTAATTATACAGTTTCATGTAGGGGCCTACAGTACTTTTCTCTGTTCTATGTTTTGGGCATGCCACTCACAAACTTTTCCCTTTTTGGTTATTTGCCCTCTTCTTTTTTTAAATTGTCTTTTAAATAACCTACTGTATGACTAATTACAGTGTACTTATAACTATAGTAATACCAAAAATGTGTCCGCCCTTTAAATTTTTGCGCGCCACCCTTTAAATTTTCTAAAATTCCGCCACTCTATAAAAACGTCCTGGCGAGAGGGCTGCAGACCTACATTATCCACCATAGCCTGATACAATTAACTATACAGTGCTAAAGACTACAGTACCACAAATAGGATCCACTATTATGTCTAAGATGCCCATAGTGTTCACTGAAGCCTACAGTAAACTGCTCCAGCGGTACAGTTTACACTACTGTACAGTAAGCCTAAAACGTGGCACTGCAAAGCCTACTTCACCAGCGCTACACATTAACTACAGTATGCACTAAGTCTAAAACTCAATGCTGAAGTCTACTAAACTAGTTCTACGGTTATGCACTAAGCCAATAACACTACAGTAGTTTAGTACAGAACAGTGCTGCAGCTCGGGTATATTGTGCTATTCTTTACAACAAAATTCTTTTAATGCAATTGGAAAATTTTTCCAACTGTGTCTGCTAATGGATGCTAACTACAGATCAAGCCGCTGATAGAAATATTAATCAATATAATCAATTAAGAAAGCTGTGAAGATGGCAGAGGCAAATTACATATATTGATAATTTTCACAATTAAATAGTATTCTGTTTCCATTTAATTGAGTTGAACTTGGTAGTAAAAGTCCTTGCAGTTTAGCTCACACTCTCATCCTCACATTTAAAACTTTTTTTATTTTATTTCATGCAATCCACAATCAACAGAGATAGAAGCCTCTACTAATAACAGGCAGGAGAAAAAGCCTATACAAGGAAACAAAACAAATGGCACAATCTTACATTGAACTGTCTTCATTACTTAAGGCTTAAAGCCAGGCTCCAGAGGAAAAAACATTTTTTATATTTTGTAGAATTAATTTTTCTAAGACACAGTATAGCATTTGAGTTTAGTGAGATATAGATTTTTGATTATTGAAAAACTGGGGGAAAGTTGGAAAAATGGGTGGTTCCCCCCTTTTTCTCCAGTTTTTAAATATTCAAATTCTGTATCTCATTAACCACTTTCAAGTTTTTTGTCGAATATGATATGTATATCTAAGAAAAATCAGTTCTACAACAAAATTATCAATTTCATCTGAACAACTTAAATTATTAATGTAACCTGCTAATCTTTGGAATACAGTAAACCTCCCTTTGTTACATCAGTTCAGCCAAATGGAACATGAATTAAGTTCTTGGTGCCAGTATAACTAGGAATGTTAAATTTAAACCAAGTAAAAGATTATAATTAATCAAATTTACAGATAAACTTTTGTACAAAAACAACATACAGTATCAAAAACAAATTTTCTTCATGAATTATAGTATTTACAATATAATCAGTCTAACAGTAGCTAAAAGTTAAAAAATGAAAAAAGTATTAATGAAATTTAAAAATATTATTTTACTGTACTGTACTAATTTCACTTTTACATTATTGCACAATGTATTCTAAAGGCCATTCTTTTGCAATTAAAAATTATACAAATTTTAAAAAGATAATATTAATCGCCTAAAGTACTGTTTAATTAAACATGTTTAATTTTGAAAGTAAAAGTGGCGCCAGCGGGTGTTGGTGGCGGTGGGGGATGGGCCAAGGCGTTGTGTAGAGCTGGTCCCTGTTGGGAAGAATAAGCAAGTCGTCAGGGAGGGAACAAAAAATTTTAAATATTTTAGTTGAATTTAGTAAAATCAATCAAATAAACCTTTGAAATCCCAAATTTTCATAGTTTTGAACCACTAACAAGAGATCCTGAGCAACGCCCACTTACGAGCTTGGGAACTTCAGACCCCCCTGTCAGGCAAATCGTGGTGCCACCCCTGGTTTAAAAGTTAGATGTTCTTTACAAGAATGTAGAGACTTATCATTTCTCTTCTACTGTATCTGCTGAGCTGTAATAATTAAAGATGAGTTTTTAGAGAATAGAGACTCGGCGAGTGACTGAAAGTACATGAAAGTAAGACTACAGTACAGCAGTGTGTGTTTATACGAAAGTATACTAGTTGTCATTTACATGTATGATAGCTGTAGCTAGTGCCTAGATCAGTTTAAAAACAAAAGCTGTCACACCGTCTGATGATATCGTTTCTTTTTATTTGACAATATTGTTTTATAGTCATTCACAGGAAAAACACTGGTACTGTACTACACTTTTAAGTGACTAAATCTGCATGTATATAATAATAAAATTAGTCTATACAATGATACCGGGCATATTTGACGTACCTGTAGAATTGTAATTGTACAGTTCAATAATTGTATTTGTTGACAATAGGGATTTAATATGTTGATTAATATGATTAATGATGCATTGATGCACAATATGGTTTGAATAATTTTAATGTAATTAAGGAGTGAATACTACTTCTTTTTATGGTTTTTTTTTTTTTTTTTTTTTTTTTTTTTTTGTGGCAAAGGAAATATGTTTTCATTCTAATAATATCTGGTGAAAACATAATAAAACTGTTAAAAAATGTACTTGATATGCCAAAAAATAAAAAGAAGAATAGAAAATAAGATATAAAAATAAGAATTTTAAGTAAAATTTTTGAGAATTAAATTGCTTTTAAAAATTGCTTCTTACATACTAAGTTGATAAATTTTCATTAAGTCATGGATAAACCAAAATAATTTTCAATGACTTAAAGCAAGTGTTTTGAGAGTTCTTTGTTTTCAGCGACCAGAGTATATAATTTGAATCTGATTAAAAAGCAACTGATTTTCCCAAAAGCATGTGAAAAGTCAGTTAATTGGATTTGAATTTGGAACGGGATTGGATTGGATTTATTCGGTGTAAACACCAAGGATAGCCCACAGAAGTCTAGACTGTCTTTGGAATAAATCCCAGTTGGGACAATTTATTGTGACACTCGCAGATTATCTCCTTTAATATGAAAAATAAAGTGTTTCAGAAATTACCCCTGGTTGGAATTGAAGTGTCCTACAACTTGACCACAATTGGCAAATATTATATATTGCAAATACAATCCAACCACTAAAGAAATTTTTCAAACAACTGATAGGTAAATATACTGTACTGTACGCCTCACAAGTTTTCCCTACAATTAACCACGTTTGGGACTGGGGTTTTCATTGTCTTTAGCAGATTTGGTCTCTTTAGAATACAGTACAGTAGATTATTGTACAAGTTATGTAACTTGAGATCATAGAATAAGTGGCCTATAATTGGAGGTGTCTTTTAGGGCAGAACTGTGGCCTACTGTCGCAGCACTTAGTGAATACATGTGAATCATTTTTCAATCAATCATGAGCTTTTCCCTGTGACAAAAAACTCCACTCTCTAAGCCTTATACTTATCATCCAGGAATGTGCTTGGTATTCACTGTACTGTATGTACGTCAATAGTAACCCAGTGTCTGAACTGCCACCCCTTCATGCATCTGTAAAATTTCCTGTAGTTGTTAGATATTAAAATTATTTCCTGAACTAAACTGATCAATACTGTAGCCTCTTTGTTTCCTTTTTTTATTTCCTTCATAAAACACACTCTCACTTGATTCTGAAAAGAAAGAAAAAACCTTGGAACATGGTATTCCACTTTCAAAATTTTGACTTTGCCTTCATACTGTACATAACTAGTACAGTATATAGCCCCTTTCAAACAGATTTGCAATACCGGAATATTGCGGTAAGCACGCCTGCATGGGCTTCTGTCTGAAAGGGTTGATGCGCCAATATACTGGCTTACTTTAGGCCACCATGCGCCCTAGTAATATTGCTGCAATATTGCGATAACGGTTACTGGTTTGCTCTGAAAGGGTCAACTCGATATTGCAGCAATCAAGCCGGCGTGTGCATTTATGCATAAACAAACAAGGTTAAGAAAGTATAATACATACTCCAAGTATTGAAATACACGCCATCGTGTTGGGATTCAATATTTCGACATTAATTATGTCATCATCAGGAATGACATAGGTTAAAGTTGAAAACAACTGTGCGGTGGTATTTAAACCGCCAATATTACACCATTCTATAGGACCCTCTCAGATAGAAAAGTGTAAGATTACCGCAACATTGCTGTAACAAAGGTGCTGTGTGAAAGGAGACTGATTATTATGCCGGCATGCTTACTGCAATATTGCGGCAACGTCTACCTGAAAGGCGCTTATGTTGTCATGTTTTCTTTGTGTATAGACTCTTCTTTTATGCTCTAGGTTTGGTCTATTTTCTGCATTTTCATTTTTCCACATCACAAACTCCATTATGTTATTATATTATTTTTTTTTATCCCGTACTTTACTTCTTCTCTGACAATATATTATATCATTTTAATAATTTTTTTTTATCTATAGTGAACAAGCTTTTGAGTATGTTAACTTTATACTATAATAGATATACAGTAGGCCGAAATAATGGCAATTCTGTTTTTTTTTAACACAGGGCATAAGAAAAAGAGATGTTCCCGAAAATAGAACAGTATTGGTGGGCAATAAACTACCAGTTGAGGGATTTGTCTTCATTCCACAAAAATTTCCTGATAATACAGTTAAATCATCCAAGGTACGATTGTTCATGAAATTACTCTTAGTATTTACAGTACATATTTCTAAATACTGTATATTATTATTTTTAAATTGTTATTATTATTATTATTATTATTATTATTTACTGTATTATATAATTGTTGATTTATTTTGTATTGTTTTTTAATAGTATATCACTATAGTTTCATTTTTATTGTTTAATTATTTATAAATACTACATCATTATTGTTGTTGTTGTTATCATTAATTATTTGTTACATTATTATTATTAATTATTAAAGTTATATTTATATCAATTTGTTTTGTTAGAATGAATAATATTTTTTTATTATTTATTATGATTATTTTTTTTTAAATTTTATTATGGTAAATGCTAAAATATTTGATTTTTTTTTATAATCCTGGTGTGGTTATTACAGTATTGTTGGTTAATAATTCTAATAGCTGTTGATACTGTGATAGTCTTCTTATCGTGTCCACTGTGTGGTGGTGGTGGTAGAAATGGTGTTAAACAGGGTTGCGACAAGGACGCTTCAACCATGACAGTGATAGTTAATTCATATAATATTTTAAATAGAAGTTTAATTAATTTTTAGCTTTGATAGTATAGCAACCTCAATCTAAATCAGTTGTGGGCATAAAAATCGGTTGGAGGGCCAAAGTGAGTTTTGGATTTTTAACCTGAGGGCCACACCCAAACTTTGATGTTTACAGTGTGCTTCTCAAAACCTTCATGCACTGCTTTTATACTACTTTATTCTCTGTTTTAACAATACTATTTACAGATGATCGATGTCGGGCAGTAAAAAGCAAGGTGTTTTCTAGTCAAAAATGTTTGGTTGACCGCACACTTAGGGTTTTTAATTCATTTTCGCGGGCTGCAAAAAATCACTTGTCGGTCTGCACTTTGTCCACCTGTGATCTAACTTAACACATCATCAAACACATGAAATCTGTGTTCAGATTACAAAGTTATTATCCTAATGTATACCACACCCAACCTGAACTTTGATACCTCACATCCTAACCACACCCAATCTGAACTTGCACACCAGTAATGTTTGTGAAGCATACATATGCATGATTGATTTTGGTGTTGGAGTAAGTAAACAAGTAAACAAACACTCTCAACAGAAGATAAATATTATGAACATTGACAGTAGACCACAGAATCGCAAATGCTGCGACTATATTTTCAATCCATTAGCCGCAGTAATAATATCGCCAAAAGGCGTGGTATAAATCCCCGGGGGTCTCACTCTTAAATATTTCTGTACAGGTAGGTGCCGCATTTACAGGTGTATTTTTGAGGACTTGGTAGCGCAAGTGTGGGAAATACTTAGGTAAAATTGGTAGTTAAAGTCCCTGCCCCGTCCTGTATCAAAGTAGCATAATTTTTCACACGATTTTATTCTAACCGTCATGCTAAACCTACCGTTGATACATAGCCACAAACAGTAGGGATCGCGAACAGAAACCGCAGTCTTATTCACCATTGGGAACCGTACAAGTTTAATTTGGTAGGTTTGCGTAGTCGCAATATAGTTCAACCGACACCGGATTTTGGTAAATGGTAGTTTTAAGTCCCTAATAATTTTCAGTAAAAAAGGGGGTAGGGAGCCAAAGAGGGACTTTTACAAATGGAGGTGCTATACCACCTCAGTCCACCATGGTGGGGCTGAGGTAAGAAATTTTACCATTATTATGGTACCTCTAGTTAGCTGAAAATGGCACTCACAGACTTAAAATTTGAAAATAATTTTCCTTTTATCTCCATTTTGACAAATTTACAATGTCAGATAGACATTTTGCTGTTATGTATAAAGCTCTTTTGGGTCAAGGTTCTAGATCGAGAACCCTACAGGTATGGGCCCCTTTGGGGCACCTGCGGATCGCCGCATGAGAGCGCATAGGCATTACGAAACTGATTGAGATGTTGATGTTAATTCATTCTTCTGCCTACTTCCGCTACTTACTGAATAGTAAGTTTTCCGTTTAACTGGGGATAGTAATATTTGAATCACACATGAGCTATATTTATGTAGTGCAAGGAGAATACCTCTGGCTATATGGGCCACCCCCACAAGATATTGTTGAAATAATAAATATTCCATTTTCAAATGTTTCGACACTACTCCTCTCACACTATAAAAGGCCTCACACTGTATCTCATGACCTTTTCCTCCATGAACAGTATGTTTATTGAAATAACCATTTTTTTTTTCTTTTCCAGTACACCTTAATTAATTTTCTACCAAAGAATCTATTTGAACAATTCAGGAGAATCGCAAATTTCTACTTCTTAATCGTTGCCTTACTGCAGGTAAAGTATAATAAAGTGTTTTTTTGTTGAACCCTATTCACACTAAAATCCATTGCGATCAGTTGCAATGTACAGTAATCGGTGGTAATCCAAATCTGATCCCAATCACAATCAACAAGCACATTCGCCAAATCAGACACAAAAATACTTTATATTTGAATGGGCTAGGCCTGTGTTGACTGATCTTGTCCAATGTGCCTGTCAATGGGTAACAATTGCGATATTGATTACTTATCAGCAATTGGTGAGCTTTCACACATGATTTTGAATTGAGATTGTGTGTTGCCATTGCTGCAACCAATCGCAATGACATACTAGTCAGAATAGGGTAGTGTACTTATCTACTATATGTTTTTTATTGCTGCGAAGCAGCCAATTCATATTCTTGACAGCAATTTGACCTCTGAAAGGTCATTGTTTGTCAAAAAAAAATGGCCTAAGACAACTGAAAAGCGGAGTTTCCTTCTTTCGTTCTGCCGGGTAAAATCAATTACTTTAGGCGACGTTTGTAGACTATCCTACTCATACCAATGTCCGCATGTCGCGACGCTGGAGTACTATTCAGCGTTTTTACTATATTTCTAGGTTTCCTATTTCTACGTTTAATCGGCTCATGTCTCAGCTACAATATTTTGAGGCCAATATTATTTACGAACCCAGTTTAACTTATTTACTAGCCTATTTCAACGTGCTAATTATTACATTTAGGCGACGCTTGTTGTAGACTGGCATAGTGTTTTCGGAAATAAATACCATTTTATACACATGCGCAGATCGATTCGCCAGCAGCGAGTCATCGCCAGCAGCAGCGATTTGCCAGCAGAGAGATGTCACTGCAGCAAAACACTATTATTGTACACGATACCAACGCTGTTCTAATATAGACAATGGGTCGTGCTCATATTACTTGTTATATTTTTATTATTCATTATTTTCACTTGACTCGCATAAATAATTTTGTTCGAAGAACATTTTATGCAATTGTACTTCGCAACATTTCACTTGCAATTTGCAATTTCTAGTTACTGTACTATATGTATGATTTATCTAAAGAAATATCTTTAATTTAATCTGTATATTTCATGTCATATTAAAAATGAATAACTTCTAATATCAAGTTAAACTATAATTGTTTCCCGGTACTTTACAATATTATTTACAGTGGACCTATTGTGTACAGTATATAATAACTTTCATTTAATTTGTACAGTATATTTCATATCATAAAATGAATAGTTTCTAAAATTAAGCTTAATATTTTTTTTTTGTTAAAATTATATGCAGACCTACTGTACAGTAATTGTTTGCTTTCTTTAAAATATGCAGTGCTGTACATAATTGAATGTGTGTGTACATATAATCATCATGATCACGAACTAACACAATCAAAGTAGATTGTGTTAGTTTGTGAAATCGAAATAAGCTTGTATTGGTTGTCAAGCAATTTTTCATTCTTTACCACACAAAAAGTCTGTAACGACAACAGTGTGTGCTTTGATGCTCATTTTGTTTTTATGAACTAACACATTGTCCATGGCATTCATTGTGTTAGTTTATGATGTGGGCAACGAATTGATAGTGAATCCATGTCTACAAATAAATGGAAGAGACTGGTGACTTTTAAGAAAATGCTAATAGAAATACAGCTAATACTGTGTAGATGAGGGGTGGACATAAAAATCGGTCGGAGGGCCAAAGTGAATTTTTGATTTAAACCCGAGGGCCGCAGCCAAACTTTGATTTTCCAGTGTGCTTTCAGAAACCTCCAAGCATTGCTTTGATACCCCTTTATTCCCAGTTTTAATATTACTTTTGACAGATGATCGGTGTCGGGTCATAAAATCAAGGTGTTTCCCAGCCATGTTTGCTTGGCGGGCCACAAACACGATTTTCAATTCATTTTTGCATCCCGCAAAAATATTGCTGTCGGGTCACACTTTGCCTACCTGTGGTGTAGATGGTGGAATACAGTACAGTATTTCATTGCACTTGATATTTTTTATTATGTGAAGAAGCACAAAAAAAATGTAAATTTTTTAATTAATTGATGACATCCCTCACTAAATGATTATTATTTTTTAAATATTGGCCTATATTCCATTAAAAATGTTAAAATAATGTGTTGTATTACAATACGATATTGTACCAGCGTTTTATGACTACTGTATATGGTGCTATGTGTGGTTTTGATCCATCAACATCCTGTATCCCATATAAAACTAAGCCAGTATTTGCATAACAAATATATGATTCCAAAGACTATGGTACTATCTGTTCAAACAGTTTCATTGAAAAGCAAATGAAGGCTTGACTTCAGATAGTACACTGTAGTTTACAAATACTATAGCATTCTGATTCTACAGTAATAAAATGAAAGTCAAAATTTAAAAGATAAACATAAAACGTCATAGTGCATAAAAAAAATAAGCAAACAAAATCACTTCCTCTTTTTTTATTTTTTGTCTTGAAACGACCTACTGTACAGGGTCAATTGATTGACATTATTTTCCATAAACTAATCTCAGCTTCAATCATCTCTTATCCAAGCTATTTTGAATTGTTTATAGGCTATTCAGCTAATGTACAAGTAGTACTGTATCTTATTAGCTTGGTTCACAGTAATATACAGGCATTGATTGATGCGAATGCTATTATTCTAATTACAACTACAATAATTCTACAGTATAGCTGCATTGCATCTACTAACAGTGACCAAGCCTAAAATATTTAATAGACAGATATTGAATTTTCAGTTACTTTCTCTATCAAATTAAATTTTATTTTATTGGAATCTTGAATAATATTACATAATTTTATTTTCTCTGTAGCATTTATTTTTTTTTTTAAATTAATTATACAATATATTGTAATTTAAAGCAGAGGAATGTAATGACAAATGATGAAGGTGCTGTATATTGTGAAATATTAAACAATAATTTTTACTAAATAACAGGAATAATGATATTCTACTATGACATATTATGTATTTTGTGCTTACCATTGATAAATGTGGTATTCAAATTGTACTGAGAGTGATATATAATAATAATTTTGGTGAGTGGGCAGATGACAGTGTGACAGTAACAACGACGATCATTACGACTTCATATACTGTATTACGGTAATTATAGTGTAATGTATTGTCTGATGTGCTTTACATTGCTCTAGTGCATTATTAACAATACTATTTACTTCTTTTTTTATATAGTTTATTATAGATAGTCCAGTAAGCCCAATTACAAGCGTCCTTCCGTTGGTATTTGTCATCACAGTAACTGGGGTAAAACAGGTAAGTTTCCTCTCAATTATTAAATACCATATTTATTCAAATAACCCCCTTCCCCTAGGGTGTTTATTGTCAAGAAGGCTTTTTGTGGGGATGTTTATTTGAGGGAGGCGTTTATTTATTTTGGTGGAAAATGGATATGCATACTTGAATAAACGCCCCTTAATTTCACCGTAAATGTGGAACTACAACAAATAATTACTGTCAAAATTTGTTATTGCGTGATTATAAAGACGTTTCTTTCCCAACCAGGTTAGAAATAAATGTAATTCTACTGGAGTAAAACATTTAATAGAATGTGTTGAAAATTTCAAATGAGGCTCTGGTGGGGTTGTTTCTTGGTTGTGGGCGCTTATTCATTAAATATTGTAAAATTAAGGTATCTCTTGCTTCAGACTACTGTAGCGCTATACAATAAAAATAAAATGACGTACTTTCGTACGGTGTTTATTTAATACTCAAGGAAGTGAAATTCTATTAAATTCCATTGGTTGTATCGAACATACAGTTTTTTTGATAACAAAAACAAAAATCAGTCAATCAAAACAATATAAGATGCAGATACATAAACTAAACATTACTGTGAAATAAATAGTAGAGATACATGGCTTATCAAAAAAATCAATATTACTGCAAGTCCGAAGTGAAACATACAATTTGCATAGAGAAAAAAATCCCTGCATGTAGCGTTTGATAGCACTGCGACATTAGCTCCGTTTATGAAAGAAATAATAAATATGATGAAAATAATCGTCACAGTTGATATCTTATGAAGGATTTTATTTTAAAGTATTTTGACCTTTCAGGGCTATGAAGATTGGTTAAGGCATCAAGCAGATTTTGAAGTAAACAATCGACCAATGAGAGTGATACGTGATGGCTCAATTGTTGATGTTCGATCAATGGATATTCGGGTATGATACAGTAAATTATTAAGTAACATGATATACGTTATCAAATGTATTATTATTGTAATACTGTTGTCATATTTAATAGTAACATTTGTTTTTGTTATTTAGTGTTATTTTTATTATCATCATTATTATTACTATTCTAGTTGTCTGATTATTATTGATAATTTTATTTTATTTTATTTATTTATTCTGGTAACTTGTGCCAAAAGCATTGTTAATCCTCAAGGGCCCAACAACACATGCAATAAAATATGATCAAATGACAGATTAAAAAAAAGAAGTGCGAAGACAATAAAGGGTATAGAAATTTCTATGCCCTTTATTGATTGTCTTTGTACTTTTTTTTTTTGTTACTTTTGTCGTTTGACCGTATTTTGCAGGCCCGTAGCCAGGTTCTTCCAAGGGGGGGTGGGGGATTTTCTGGGCGTGAGGTCCACGGTCGAAGCCCTGGTGGGGTCGCCGAAACCCCCAAAGCAAGAGGATTTTTTTGCTTTATGGGTCTAAATAATGCTATAAAAGCAGATATGTTTGAAAACGTCTGTCTGGGTGGGTCTGCAGTGCATTAGTTGGGTTGGAAGACTTATTTTGGAAATTTGAAGAGGGGGATTTGCCAAAAAAGAGGATGTCCGCTAGAAAAGGGGGGTTATCCTGAACCATAATAACCCCCCTGGATACGGGCCTGTTTTGTTGTATCTGATTGCTGGGCCCTGGAGGATAACAATGCTTTGACACAAGTTACCCATAATAAATAAATGAAATAAAATAAAAATTATCAATAATATTAACAATGCTTTGGCACTAGTTAGCTGTTAAAAGGATAGATTCATAATATTATGATAAAAATAATATAATATATTAAATGTACTGCACAAAAAAAATACCAGAAGCTTTCTATTGAGGCATACGGTATTTTACATTTTTCTTAATATGGAATGAAATTCAATCAAATAAATGTATTTAATATAATAATCATAATCATAATTATTCTATAAATAGACTGTTAATAATCATACAGACATCAGATTATCACTAATATCAAACCGACTTATTGTTTGTTTTTTTTGTCGTAGTATTGGTTGATTTTTTTAATTTTTTGTTTCTAGGTTGGTGATATCGTTCGCTGTAAAACAAATCAGGAATTTCCCTGTGATATGGTCGTGCTGTCTTCCGAAAATCCTGAGGGAGAATGCTATGTTACTACGGCAAATTTAGATGGAGAAACAAACCTAAAGGTAAGCCTCTCTAGAAGCTTCATAATTTTGCCCTTATTTGGCATTTTATAATTTTTCTCAATATTTGCCATTTTATTATGTCAGTCAAACCTCCCATTTTTAAGACACCCCAAATTTTGCAGTATTCTATTATACAAAAAACATGTGCAAATTTTACCCTGATTACATTTTAAAGAAATATAAGTTGTTCAATATTTACAATAATAATCTTGAGTACATAGAAAAAATTGCGGGCCAGAGTTTATAGAACAATACATATTGGAAGATGAAAATGTGGCCACCTTTATTTACAACTCAAATTTCATTATCTGTACTAAGATGATTCATCTAAATTCTAGTAGTTTATAGAAATCAAAGATCGTATTCATTAGTATATTGACATTTGATATTGATATAACATTAAATATATTGGTCATTTGTCATTTAAAACTCGTATCTACATTAGTTTTAAATTAAACCTGTGTAGAATAGTCTGTACAGACATTGTCGCAAGGTGCTTGTCTGCAATAAAAATTGTATTCATAATTTTTTTTTCTCCTGGAATGGCATCACATATAGTTTGGATTTTATAATGTATTACAAATAATTTTAAATATTATATCAAGTTGACTTTAATGCTGTTTGTTTTTACAACATTTGGATCAAAACAGAAAACAAAGATACTGTATAACAAGTGGTAATATACAGTTTAGCAATGAAAATTGCCAGTCGGTCTTCCTTATGCATGTGAAGATAGTTAAACTTTACGGTTTGACCGTAGTTAGATGACCTCAAATTGTGATTTACGACCACTGCTTTTGGAGGTTTGATTATAAATTAACATTTTTGTTATTGTGAGTACCATATAAAAAAGCATCATGTATTAATGTACCTTGCAAACAAGGCTTTTTGTAACATACAAAGTGTACCGTAGTATAAAACATAGCATTTTATACCATATGAATAGCTATTTTATTATTAATGTACAATTATATTATAGTATAATTGTTTACTGTGAAAACAAGCATCTTAATATGGGATGTAGAATTCTATTATTTACTGACATCATTTATAAGTATACCATGGAAACAGATATCCTACAATATTCAGTTTACCATGTAAACTAGCATCTATATTTGAATCATGAACAGTTGTTGTGTACTAATACTATAAATGGGCATTATTAAGTGTCCCATATCTTATAAAGTAGTTACCATGTACAAGAGGCATCTAGAGTTACAAGTTTTAATTATTTATTATTATTTACAATAATTTATGATTATTAGTAATGATAATAAACATACAGGTATCATTACTTATTGTTATTTTGACCCTTATAATTTTGACTGTAATGTTCTTTTTTCATGCCAATCAGTTGTTGTTAGCTTTGTATTTCATTTTAATTTTGTTCTTTGTATAATTATTACTTGATTGTATTATGTATGGACACACCACCGTGCATGTGTGTGCCAATGTCCCTAATGTGAGTTCCAATAAATACTGAATACAGCGTATCATTAACAACAGTTGTCGTATTAAGTGTAGGCCTACTGATGTGAATGGGTATCTATTAGTTCAAAATAACTGGGCACCTTTAATACTACTAGTGTAAAAACGTGAACAGGCATCTTTTATGTCAGTATACACATGGATGAATATTGTATGTTTAAACTTATTCCTCCATCGTGTACTGCGTCAATAGGCATCTACAGTACCATCAAACTTGCTTTAGCGTTTATTTATTGTCAATTACCTTTTTGAAGATGCTGTTGAAAAACGTTTGATGTAACTTGATAGTCTACTCTTTACTCATCTCCGTCATTGTAGCATTTTTGAAAGCCATTGTATATCAGTCGTCATGGCAACTGTTGTGCGGTATCAAATTTTATTATGCGGTATCTCTTTAATTGTATCGTTAATTACCAAATTATCTATGTTTATTTTCTTTACCTGTTCTTCTCTGTTATATAAAATAATTGTATAAACCTTATTTGTTTGGTTTTTTTTTTATAAAATCGATTTATGCTATCACCAACATCTTTCAGATTTTGAAATTTCAGTGATGCTGATTGAACTGTCCAATCAGGGATTCTTACTGATTGCGTCATGGCAACTATTGTGTGGTATCAAATTATATTAGTCTAAAATATTTCTTCAATTGTATTCCTAATTAACAAATTATCTATGTTTATTTTCTTTACCTGTTCTGCTCTGTTATATATATTTAATTTTGTAAACCTTAGTACAGAGGAGGGGGATTCAGATGCAGTGGCGGACCGTAGGGTAAATTGCAGGGTATGCTAGCTAAAAATGAGTTCTTCGAGCATTTACATCTTTATTGTGAAGGCAGTTTGGCGCAGTGGAAATGATTTGATTTCCCAACATCAAGGTTATGGTTCAACCCTTCACTGTGCATTTTGAGCAAGGCACTTTAGCTATATTGCTTCAGTTGGTCCCAGCTATATCAATGGTACTAGCAAATTGCTGGGAGTAACCTGCGGTGGACCAGTGTCCCACCCATGGGGAAGCATCATACTCATTCACTTCACACTGCCTGAAACTGGGGATAAAGCTCCAGCCCATGTGAGCCATGTAGCTCATCAAGGATTTAATTCATATTTATACCATCTTTATTAAGTTTACTTTTTTCTCATTTGCACAAAATACAACAGTATTAGATTGGAAAACTTATAAATACTTATGTTCTATGTTCAGATGCATCGTTCTCTTCCTATTACTGCGATTCTGCAAGACGTAGAGAGTCTGGAATCGTTCAGAGGGTTTATTGAGTGTGAGCAACCCCACACAGACCTGTACAAGTTCATAGGGCGAATGAAAACTTTTGATTCCAGCGGCCAAGAATCTGTTTAGTAAGTCTTTTTAATTCTTTATACAGGGTAGCCTGTTCATTTACTATACCTAGTTTAGTCTTCCACAGGGCCCAGATGCCTTGTTAAAATCTCATACTGAAATTTAGGTAGTGGAATTGTTTGAGAAAGAGTACTGATGTCAAAGGAATTGAACCCATGACCCAGGGATTGAAAGGCAAACATCTTGAACACCAAGCTATTCAACTCCACTCCTAGTTGATATACTTTAGTATACATTTATAGCACAATCCTATTCTAAACCAATTGAAAAATGAAACCTTGATATTATCATTTAAATATACATAAAAACCAAAGGAAGTTATTCAAATAAATAAGAATCTGTCTAGTGTAGTAATTACTTATAGTACGGTTGACTTTCATTCTTCAATAGAACATTTGTTGTTGTAATATACAGTAGCAATTACTTGTGTCATACAAAGGTTAATAATTATATACTGTACAGTAGCATACTTTAATATTGTTTAAAAGTGTGCATAGCAAAGTAATAATATATTGAATGCTTGCGGTACACTACATAGATAGTTCTGAAAAGAACTGTTGTCTTGTTGAGAATGTCTTGATGTTTCGATTGAGTTGCTTCAATCATCTTCAGGAGAATAATATCTGCAGAGAATCTAAACAGGGACATACTTTATAATATTTAAATGGCTCTCTGGAAGATCTCAAAATAAATTGCTATTTGTGAAGTATGTTTATCAAGTTTTTTGTTTTGATAATCATGTTTAACTATATTTATTCTTTTATAATAAAACTGGGACATTCAGTTCTTGTGATTGTTTCATTGTTGTATAGTTACATGTGAGCAATAATGTGTAATACAACATCATTGTTTTTAAACAAAATTAATATTCAAATCATTTTTTTTCAGTCCGTTAAGTCCAGAAAATGTGCTACTTAGAGGTGCCAGGTTAAAAAATGTACAATATATTTTTGGTAAGTTTAAATAAATTTTCATGTTTTATTCTAAGCTATATGCCTTGTAATATCATTCTAATATGATGGTTATAAAATTGTCAATTACCAATAGAATTGAATTTGAATAATTAATACATTGGAATATAATATTCATCAAACTAATCCGATTTTACTCAGACCTGCCAGGAGTCTGTCCATTTTGAGGTTTGATACATAGGTCATCCAGTTGTGTGTTAATCGCATCGTGTAATTAACGATCTTCATCCATTATTAGAACCTCCATCATAATTCATTGACCTCCTATGTAGATGATTGCCGTGGGAAGTAAAGCATACTCTAAATTGCTCTTAGGGAAAACAATAGCATATAGTTCGATTTGTCTGCATACAATTATCCTGGACATGCATTACGATGATGACCTATGCCCTCATTAGAAGTTTGTGTAGTACCATCAAATTGATCATGATGCTCACTCTTCATTGGAACGATACTGTAATAATAGTGATAATGTAATACGTCAATATTAATATTGAATCCTTGCCAAGCCACAGGCCCCATAGGCCTGGAGATTTATCCTCAGTTTCTGTTGTGTGAAATGGATAAGGGTTTAATCCCCCTGGGAGGGACGCTAAGTTACTCCCAGCAATTTGCTGGTACCCATTGATATGGCTGGCTAGACTGAAGCAGTGTAGATAAAGTGCCTTGCACTAGGACACAAGCAAAATGTTTCCACCTATTATTAAGTTATTATAAATAGATATTTAATAATGGAACTATAATATATTGTATATGTAATTAAATATTAGAATAAAAGAATGACTATAAATGTACACTTATAGGCAACAATAGTGCAATTGGGTGTGGTTCATTGATGCTAGGAGTCATGTCATGAGATTAAATTGTGTCTACGAGCACGGCCAATACAAACATTGATTGAGAAGAATCACAACCGACTTTTGGATCATTGTGACTTTAAAATCCACACACACCTCCATGATAAAAGATAAATACAGAATGCACGAAATCTAATGACTGCTATGAAAGTATTTATGGTGAAAAATGTGTAAATATATGACTAACAGGCTAGTAAGAGCTCCCTTAATGGTGCAGTTTGTATTTATATCACCCAGGAGACTTAATGTGAGAAATGGCTGTACTGAAAGACAGCCGTTAGCCATATAATGGACTTTAAATTTGAAATGGTTTATATATTCAGTATCATTAAAAACCACTAATACTACATTGGAAACTTGAAAAAAAAATGACGATAATATATTTTATATTCTGTTTTATTTAAAATTTTCAATACATAAAACTAAGACATAAAAGTATAATAATCATAATTTTAATTTATCATGCTGGTACCTTTCAGACTATAATATACATTTATTCACAACTTAAGTTTCAAAAACCAGTTTTTTTATACAGTTAGTCCACCGGAAATACAGATTTGACTGGACAAAATTGCAACAAAACGTTTTATGATCTAAATATAAACTTAATTATATGTAAAACAACATACTAAAAGTTTACCAAAATAGGACGTACATAAAGGTGTTTTTTATAACCAAAAGATCGCAAGGTTTGGTGTGCGAATCACAGATATATTTCTTCCGGTTTACAGGAATTACAGAGCTATAAATATTGGAAATTAATTGGAATCATACCAGAGTTAGTTCATGTATGACCCTGACAAATTTTTTTACCTACCTGTCATTTGGGGCCATTTTTACCGGGGCCATTTTTTCCGGGGCCATTCTTACCGTACACCGAAAAAACGGGTGACAGACGATCAGGCCCAGACGGTCGGGCCCGTTTTGAAAAGTGGGCCCGATAAACACTGTCTCTTATACACATCTAGATGTGTATAAGAGACAGGAAGACAAGGCATTATACAGTAATTCGGCATCGAATCCTGAATTTATGTGATTTCCAAATTTTTTTTATATGAAGAGAGTAGAATAGTAGGCCTATTTCAAATAAATCAATTATCAGTCATTATTATACTTTTTAAAATATCAACAATTATTTTACACTATTTGCAAATAAATTGGTTTTATTGTATTAGCAATTTTAATTGGTGTTTTTAGGTAAGAAAATATAATAATAGGCCTATTCCTATATAGGGCCTATTGATGTAAGATCACATACTTTTTTTTCCGACTCCTGAGTCTCAGCTGGGTCGGCACACACTGGGCAGGCCTCACTATTTGTCAATTAATCGTACCTATCATTGTATTTAAAATTAAAATTGAATTATTGTTGTAGATCCATCTACCCTGAAATTAAATATTACAGAGGTTATAATATCTAACAATTTCTGTGTTTACATTCTGGGACGTGACGTACGTACGAACTTGCGTACTTGGGTACGTACGTACGTGTGTTGCGTAAATTAGTACGCGCAGACTGTTGAAGGTATGTTAACCAATCAAAAGCGTCAGCTGCAAATCAAATTAAAGCGCTTCGTAACCAAGGCACAGCACACACATCCTAGGCATGGCGTATAAGCCAAGTGAAATAGTTCAGTTTTCTTTGCTATAAAAATCACCTTTCCCGTGGGTATATTTTGGTAAACTTTTTGTATGTTGTAGATATAAAATTTAACTATATATATTCATAAAAAGAATGTTTTGTTGCAATTATGTCCAACTTTGGTGCTTCAAATCCGTATTTCTGGTGGACTAAGTGGCGGCGCCTGGATTTGCTCGACAGGGGCAACCAATGTCACCGACAGGGTAGGGGATGACGTCCCTAACAAGAATAGCAATGTCCCTGACAAAAACAAAAGTGGCTCAGAGGCCGGGTTCTGTAAGCTTTTTAATTAAGTGATTTAAATGACTTATTCAATCAATTTCAGAATTTAACAATCTGTAAAAATTGCATACAATTTTTTTCTCTCCCTATCTAAATGTGTTTTTCTCGCAGACAGCGGGCCAGCCCTTAACTGACCCCACCGTGTTTTTTCCTGCATACAGCAGCATATACATTTTTCATGCAGGACACATTTGTTACATTTAAGTATCTTTTTTAATGATATTAGAGGATAGCAGAAAAAATAATGATTAAACTTTTGTTTTCTCATGTAACAGTGCCAGATTCAATAGGGGCCCAGTGGGTTTCCCCTCCCTTTTCCCCCTTCCCCCTTGGAGAAAATAAAAATTATATTACAGTAAAGTCTGAGAGTGCTATTTCTAGGCCAGAATCATAAATTTTATTACATCAGCCCCAGGTGAGGCTGGGGTGGTATTAACCCCCTATCTGTCAATCATCTAAGTTCCTGGATTCCCCACTGTTCAATATAATATTCAGCTAGACAAGAAATTAATAATAATATTTTATTGAGTACTTTATAAAGGAAAAAATATTGATCTACTGTATGCCCGTAGGCCCTTGCCCGCTATTCTATTGTGAAGTAATATGAATAATAGATGCACTCTAACTATCGGATTGATAAATGATTCATATCCATGTTTTGTGAAGAAAAAATATAGATTTTTAATCTAGAAATTTATGGTAGTAATATATGGTAGTAATATATTGACTGACAAAATTTTTATTTGATTTGAAATTGTTATTAATGCAGACGGGATCCATTAATGGTTGGGGAGAAAACGTGCCTCCCGTTTTGCCACTGAATTTTACAATTTCAATGCATATATTGAAATTAGCACTCACTTTTCTATTCCGAAAATGTTGCCTAAACATAATTGGATTGAATAATGTTCTAATAAACTAAAGTCTCTTTATAAGACTTAAAATAGGATTTCACAAAGATCTGAGACAAAAGATCTGAACTACTAAGCTACTATTCTATCTTTTTTGAAAATATTATTTGAGTAATTATTAGAATTATAAGATATTTTTCAGAATTGATGACATGCTGTACTGCTTTTTACACAAAGTATTGTATTATGTCAAAGCAAATTATCCACCAAAATTCTGTTTACTACCGTTGCCATGGAGATATTGGCAATGCACAGTCATAAAAGCACATTATCTCTTTAAATTGTTTTTTATAGAATTTGTGGATACTGTATTGAAAACTATTCATTTTTTTAGATTTTTTTTTTCAATGTTTATTAATTTTACTATTAGAAAAGTGAAGTAAATCTAAAAGCATTGAATTAATAATTTTAAATCCATTTTTTTAATAATAGAATGAACATAATAGCATGGAGATAATCACTTTTTAACTCCATGATACTGTACTTTTGTTAACATATTATTAGGTGTTTATGTCACCTACATTTGGTTTTCTGTCATATGTTTTATTGTACATTTGATCTTGAAAATGTGCCCACAATGGACCCAAATCCATTTTGTCAATAAATTTTGTGTTAAAGTTGTATCATAAACATCTGTTGATTCAAAATAATGATGGCATAATGATGTCATATCACACCCTAATATGGTCATGATGATGTCATATAGACAAAGCACTGGCTTTTGCCTCATAAAACCTGAATTTGAACAGTGCTCCTTTGTCCATTTACCCTGATTTTCGTTTTTTTTTTTTTCAGGAGTGGCAGTAAATACAGGAGAGCAAACAAAAATGGCTCTCAACTCAAAGTCCAAAGGGCAGAAATTCTCATGTTTGGAAAGGTTTGTCTCCATTGTGTCATTCAAAATGCAAGATAATTTATCAACACATGTGCTGATTATCCATACTGTACATACCGTAGACCAAATAGAGAGGCCATGATTTCAATTGGTTCACTTTTTTACCGTGTCATCTCCAGGATAATGTTTATTATTATTTGGTTGTATTTTTTTTTTTTCATTTTCTAACATAACTTGTTTCACCAAAGAGAAAATGTATTTTGGCCCCCAGTGAGTTCAGCTTCTCTATGGGTTCATAATTACCTCTTGGACGTAGATTTCATAGTGAATTTGGCATTCTCTATAATGGAATTCCACTATAAACAGAGTGCTGAAATCTCCCTACTCAAAAAATTTACTATACATTCTCTTATAGTTTGCCATTAAACAATAGTAAGCATTGTTTATCACTGTATATAGTTAATTACAGTCTGTTGTCCAGGCCTTACCACACAATTTATAATAATTGTTAATTGGTTAATTTATTCTGTGTGGGCATAAAGTCATAGTTCATTGTAACTACTGTATAAAGCACATATTCTTGTATCAGATAATTGATTGGGAGACGAGCATAACAATTTGCAACACAAAGGTCTTACATTTGCCTACAAAATAATACTCTGACTAAAGTTATTTAAGACAGGTATTTTGTCAATTTCTGAATCTTTTCTTTGTTGGTTTATCTAGTTATCAAATTTTCCTCATGTAAATTTACTTACAAAAAAGCCACCCCTCCAAAAAAAAAAAATGTGTTTTTTTGGTTTTTTTTTTAGTTAATCCAGTTATCAAATTTTTCTCAAGCCACCCCTACCTCCCACCCCCACCCAAAAAAAAAATAAAATAAAGTGAGGGGAAATAGAAAATTGCATGTAAATTCTGAAAGTGCCATTCCTGTTTGTCTACAGGTACAATTGGCACAGAGTTTGGGCCTAGGTACTCTTGATCCTCGTACATGAGAACATTTTCCTTCCTAGTCCTACTTAATTCTGAATTCCTCAATCCACCACTTGGGTTTTATCATTATCTATTATTTTCTTAATTTTAGGTCAATGAACAAATACCTTGGATCAATGCTGATACTGCTTGTGGTGGAGACTTTGTTGTGTACAATTTTAAAATATGCTTATGATGCTAACCACGATTTAAAAACACACTGGTATTTCTATAGCAGTGCAGTATACAATGGTGCCTATGACAAAAGTGTAAGTTAAGCATCTAAAATTCAACTTTTCAAAAGCAATGATTATTTTCCACCCCAAAGATAAACTTGTTACCGAACAATAAGTCAACTGTAATAAAATAATTTTTCATGAGGGTGGCGATGTTGATAATGATAGTGGTGGTGGTGATGATGGTGATGATGATGATGGTGATGGTGGTAGTGGTGGTAGCAGCATCTGTGATAATAGTAATCATGGTGTAGCCACTGTGGGAACATGATGGTGATGATGATTATTTTGATGGTGATAATGGTTGTTGAATGATGATGGAGCTGATGATTATTTTGATGGTGATAATGGTTGGTGAATGATGATGGTTATTTTGATGGTGATAATGGTTAGGTGGATAATAATTGGGATGATGATTATTTTGATGGTGATAATGGTTAAGTAGATGATGATGGGGATGATTATTTGTATGGTGGATATGGTTAGGCTGATCAATCTCCCTTGTTAGGTATAACAAGGGAGATTCAACCAGCATACTGTATTGAATTTGCTATTAGCTTATGCCTAATTACTTTTCTCCAACACTGATTGGCTCACTACTAGGAGGTTAAAAAAACCTGCTATCTGGTTATCACTGCGGAATGTCCGTTTTCGTTGGAAACATTGCAGCTGCTTGCTCAGATGAGAATAGTACTCTCATTGCTTAGCCACCTAGCAATGTAATTTTTTGCCTTATTCCCAGTAGTGTATCTAGAAATTACTTATGCCTCTCCAGATGCCCCTCCAAAATTCATTGTCAAATTGTTAGGAAGCACCTAAAATTACCTTAATTTGCAAGTTAGTGTCCCCTAAACTGGTCATCGAGCCAGCCCCCACTTCACCTTCGCATCCCCCATCAGCATCCCCACTTCAAAACTTTTTTAAATTTATTGTTTAATGTTCTATCTTTCAACTTGTAAATATCAAGATTTTGTACACTACATTTTATATACAAGCATAACAACTCCAGCAGGTTTGGTCCGTGTAGCTGATGCAACTTGATTACTGAGTGCAGAGTGTATGATTGGTCTGCAGCTTGAATACAGCACTGTGTGTAGGCTATTACGACTTTTTAATTAAAAATGCACAGGACGTACAGTGGCTACAGTACTAGATTTAAAGGGAGCAAGTTGGTTGAATCCCCATTTTTTATACCTCCATGGATTGGTGATGATGGGGATGATGATTATTTTTATGGTGATGATGATGATGATGTGATAATAATGAATGTGTTTGTACTGATGGTAATGGTGATGGAGATTAAATAGTAAGCAGCTTTCATCCACTATTCTATGTAAACATAGTATTAAATCATTGCTGTCTTTCTTCTTTTTTTCAGTTCCAAAATATAATGTCAACATTTCTGTCCTTTTTGGTTCTTTTCAATTACATAATTCCAATCTCCCTTTATGTCACACTTGGTAAGTTCAGATTACATATATGTATACCAACCAATATTTCCTCCTTGTAACTCAACATTGAACACAACTGGGTCAAGTTTGTTGTTGGGGATTATACATGGGGAATCCCCTTTTTAATCAAATGGCAATTTTTTGGCACTGTATGTGTGTGTATGTAAATTTGGCGTAAAATAGGGGGTGTGCTTCTACCCAAGAAACTACAATAATAATAATAATAATAAGTAGCGCTAAGTCAAACTTTTGTGTTATTTATTATTGTTCTCTAATTTCTCCATTGTCTAAGTTTCCCTTAAGGTGGGTTTTAGTAACATAATAATAATAATAATAATAATAATAATAATAATAATAATAATAATAATAATAATAATAACAATAATAAGTATGGATTTATAGAATGTATAATGCATAAAGCCAATAATAGTGCTTTTATAGTAGCATTATTTTATTAGTATTTAAATTACCATTCCTAATTGAAGTTTATTTGTATTAAAATTCTTTTTTCTTTTTCAGAGCTACAAAAATTTACTGGGTCCATGTTTTTTGCCTGGGACATTGACATTTATGATGAGGTAAGTTTTCCAAGGGGTGAAGCCAGAAGGGGATATGGGAGTGGGGAAAATCCATGAAATCTTTCTGTCAAATAAATATCCCTACTGGAGCTTTCACTGAAATAATTACTGTTGGCTTATTGGATTAAGAAAATAGTTTGGTTTTTTTTTTTACTCACTTAAAGTGAAATAAAAGTGTAAGTAGTTGTATAGCCGAACAATAATATTCATTACAGGTAATAATGAGACTGCACTCTGGGAATAACGTTTAAGGTGGATGTAATTTATTTTACACAAGCTTTTGCTAGCAGTCAATGCCAGCTTCATCAGGTGTGGGAGGTCAAAAAAAGAAATAAGTAAAATAAGAGTGAAGCATATTCAGTTGGCTAAAACATATATCTATTTGTGCTTGTAGTTTGGTGTCTCGCTGGGGTTGGCACTGTTCTGATTAAACTGGCACACTCAGAGTGTTAAGGCAACAGTAAGGGTGCATGGCGACAGTTGTATTGTTGATGACAATGATGGTGGTTGTATTATTACAATATACTTCATTATGCTCACATGTAATTCTTTATGTCTCACTCTTAGCAAACTGACCAGCGAGCTAAAGCAAACACGTCCGATCTGAATGAGGAACTGGGGCAGGTTGAGTACATGTTCACGGACAAGACGGGTACGCTAACAGAAAACAACATGCAGTTCCGACAGTGTTCAGTTGATGGAGTGAAATATGAAGATGTAAATGAAAACTTAAAAATGTTAGGTGAACTAAAAGATATGACTGATTCTGGAATCGAACATCAGGTAAGATTTTGTGAAAAAAATTAATTATCCTTTATACAATTTGTGGTAGATTAAATTTACGACCCGTTAAATTTGATATAAACTTGAAAATACTAACAAAACAGATTGAATTGCTTAATATGTATGTTTTAATATTTATTAGCTTTCAACCTAAAATTTAAATAAAATTTTTACAATTAATTAGCACAATTAACAGTTTTTGCATGTTTGTATTTGGTAATCTTTGATCTACATGACTTATTGAAAATTCGCATGTGGAAATTAAAGTTCCTACAGCTGTAAATCAAGCCAGAAAACACAATACAGTAACATCTTCCAATTACGAACTCTCAATTTTACAAACTCTATTTGCGACAATGACATCATTACGAACCATCTTTTTTAACTACAGAAACACTTAAAACTAATTTGTTTCTCCCATGGCAAGGCTTAAGACCTATCCCTGTATACTACATAACATTAGGCCCAGCCTCCCCATGGAGATGCTATGAAAGTTTGATTGTTCTCAATTACATACACTTTTCGGACGGAGGGCTACTTAATTGCGAGATGCTACTGCATAAGTTAAACTTTATTACATATACAATAGGCCTACATTACTCAAAGTTGAAATGCCAGACCTGTACATGAATCTGTCTCCTGCTTATACCTAGGATACAATGTTTTACAAGTACAAATTCATTTGTACTGTATATGTAGAATGTAGCATAAATTATACACCTAAAACTTTTTTTCATTTACGACAGCATCACATTTAAAAGTAGTTATTACTAGGATGGACCATGCAGTTATGTTATTATTATTAGCATAGAATGTTACCCAGGGAGACACATCCCAAATAACTCAATGCTTATCTGTCAAGCTGCCGGAATTTCAATTACAAGACATCTGGCAAAGTATAAAGCCTAGCTGCTTTACTCAAAAACTATTTTCTCCTTTTAACTTTTAAATTTCTCCAGCTGTGTACCTCACAATCTATGATTCATTATTCATGTGACATTGTTTGATTACTATGGCTTAACACAATCAGATGACTTCACATGACCTGGTTCTACAAACACAAATAGGATTGCAGTAGTAATAGAAGTTAATTATTTCAACATGGATGAAATTGCTGGGGGTTTTCCCCTGTTGTGTTTAATATCCTGCTTTTACTTGATCCTTAATCAATCTGCTTGTTAAAGGATATAGGTTTATATATTTGTACCATTACCTGGATTGTGGGCTAGGATTTTATAATCTCTAAATTTTGTTATGATGACCTTTTATTGCTATATTTTTGTGATTATATTTGTTGGAAGGACTTTTGGAAGCCACAGATATTTGACGAATTATGGTGAATTTTTATTACTGTACTTATTTGATAGGCATCGAGCTACTATAATATGACTTCATGTGGGCTATGTTTTCTAATGTCAAAATCTGTTTGCAAAACCAAAACCAAATCATTTTGAATAAAACAAGAAACAAAGAGTATGCAATGTAACCATCTAATTTATTTTCAATCCTCATTCTTAAAAGTGAAATACTATATTTTGGAAATTTTGCATGAAATCTGTCAACCACGCTGTCATGGTCGAGGTTGCTTCACCTATCACGATGTATTCCAAGCATCATGAGGCTATCCAAACGAGCATTTGTCATAACAGAACGCAAATTATTTTTAATTAGCCTCATTGAACTATTATTATTATTGTTGTTATGAAAAGTTAACACAAATAGTTTAATGAAAACAATATGGTGGCTTAACGAACATTACATGTAAATATTTTGTTGTTTTATTACCCCAAAAATGTGCTCGTCTTCCCCGACCAGGGGGGTGGGGAGCGCTATGCTTCCCCCTCTGGCGCCACCACTGGGCTAGACTAGGAAGTAAGTACTTTTTTACAATCTATGTATGAGGTATATAAGCGGCCCTCGGGAAGATAGGCTACGGTCTCCACATCACCTCGGGGCAATAGATTTCACCATTCCCCTCATGAGCAGTCAATATTTGTATACTATACACTATACAGAGTAAGTACTACTGTATATGACATGATCAAATAGTTTTGTTTTAATTATTTTTCCAGAAGAATCTGCTGAAGGAGTTTCTACTATGCATGGGCTTATGTCACACGGTGCATGTCCACAAAGATTCGGAAAGGAACGGCATCGACAGCACCGACAGCAACGTCCCCCTGGACTACCAAGCATCTTCACCTGATGAAAAGGCTTTAGTTGAAGCTGCTGCTCGGTAAACAAAGCAGCTATGTTTATTCCTTGATAAGATTTAATAGACCTTCTCAGTCAGTCTTAAATTGACCATTCAGAACAGAGCCAGGAATACCGCGTGCCTCACAAGCACGCATGTTGTCCCACGAAACGCACATGTGAACCTTATCAACAATATCCTTGGGGCGGGGGGCTTAGCAAAAAGTTTTATTATATTATATGTAGATACTGCTAATAACACAGTAATTTTAACGACATTATACTAAAGAGAACCAGGGCATTTCAAATATATACCACGCTATCTGTTGTTCACTACATAAATTAAACACCAGTCATTCAGTATGTTAAAATATTTGTATGTTATGAGGTAAGACAGGGACGGATTTAGGCCCCCCCTTTTGGGAGGTAAAAAAAGAAAAAAAAAACGAAAAAAAGAAAGAAAAGAAAAAAGTGATAGCCCACAACGCCTCAAATGTTATTTTCCGGCGTCTAGAACACAAAAATTCCGGACCCCTTAGGACATTGTTGTCTCGATCGGCCCAAATTTCGGCCCCCACTTTCGGCCCCCCCTTTTTGACATCTCTGGACCCGCCCCTGTAAGAGATAGATTGTTAAATTATTATTATTTTATATTAAATATTGTAATGTATGATTGATATACTTTGTATTTAGTATAATAATGTTCAGAACCAATTTTATTTTAGTTTTGGTGTCAAGTTTCTTGGAGGTACCTCTGAGTACCTTGAGGTAGAAATAGATTCAAAGGTTAAACGTTATGAATTGCTGCATGTTCTAGAATTTGACCCAACCAGGAAGTGCATGAGCAGCATTGTAAAAACACCAGAAGGTATGTGTATATATATTTTTTTTTTCAAATTATAATCATTGAAAATTTGTGGAAATAAAAGAATTAAAAGAAAAGTGGGCTGCATGAATGTCTTATACTAAATTTCACTCAATAGGAATGTAAAAAATATTAACAAATTAGAGCCAAGGGTATGATATCTAGCAAGGATTATCAGTTGTTTATCAGTTGTTCATATCCTTTTAAGAATACTAATGACATCTCCCTACCAGTGTTGAACCCAGCATGGGGGTGGGGGCTGGGAGGGCACATCCCACCATCGGACAGACCTGGATACTCGTCGTCTAATGACATGACAAGGTTGCCGACCAAAAATAGTAGTTTGCTTTTCCAAATACCATTATTTTGATGTCCAATCCCTAATATTGTGCACAGTTTGGGTCATAAAGCCATAAAAACTATCCCTGTGAACCCTACTAGGGAATTTTATTTTGGGATCCTGACCGAGGCTTTAGTCAGCGTCTTGGTTAGCACCCCCTGTCGGTACATTTCTGGAGTCACCACTGCATCTCGGTAAAAAACAGACCTCAAGGAAGCTTGTAAAGTTTCGAAGATATTTAGCAAGTATCTGTTCGCATGATAACAAGGCACAAATCTCTTTCACTTTGGCATCACAAGTATCTTTATTGTCTGCGCATCAATTTATTAAACTCAATTCAAATTTTAGCAAGGTTTGTATTTAATGTGTGTGTGTAGACATCCAATCTCAGTAGTAACTAATATCCTTTTTATTATGTGATACATTGCCTTTCGTCTTGTGAGTTAACTAATCGTGAAAGGTACTGTAGTATAGTCTGGGGGATCTGAAGCATGCCACATGTCTTTGCTAATTTCCACCCCTTTCCTCCCTAAATGTCTCCTCTTTATAACCTTTAATCACATGGTGAGGTGCTTATGTTGTATTTTTGTAAATTCTTATGATTGGATAATTTGTACGTACCTTTGTATCAGGTGAAATTCGTCTGTTGTGCAAAGGGGCTGAATCAACAATTCTACATAAAAGCGTCTCAGGGAATGTGGAGGCAACTCTACAACATGTCAACGACTATGCTGTGGTAATTTTCTTTAATTATTCTTAATTACTTTTAGGCACATTTTTGTTCAACTACCTTAAGTATTTAAAATACTGCAATAATTAGATTTAAAAAAATATATCTTTATTTTTATTTTATAATAGTTTGGGCATTCAAAAGCAAACATTGGGGGAAAAAGAGTAAGAAAGAAAAGACAAACTGATGAAGGCCAGGAGGACCAAATAGCGCTTGCTAATAGTAAAGGCCTTTCCAACAAAACAATCAAAACACACAGATATCAATGAAATTACAACATTTAAAAAATTTAAGAATGTGTGATGAATTTTGAAACAATTATGAATATGTATATCAAATGTAATTTACAAATTCTCTTTGGAAATGAAAGATGACATCATGATTGACTTAAAATTATTAATAATGAAATGTAACTGAAGAATAATCTGACCTATAATTTTTAAAAAGTGTCAACGTCCACCAGGATTTGAACCTGGGATCTTTTGCTTAATATACGAGTGTCATATTATTACCACTAGACCACAAAGGCTTATAGTGATCATCCACAGACAGAAGCAGTCAAACTCTCTTTCAGTTTCAGTTTATTTATTAGGCCAACAACAAGGTCATAGGTCTTCATGTTTTGAACTTGACTGATGTCGCAATTTGCATACTGCTAAATGCTCACATGGACAACGTAGACATTATAGTGATCTGCATTATACAATTTTTTTAATTTAATTTTTGTTATAATTATTTCAGCTTGGTTTGCGAACACTCTGCTTCGGATACAGGATTTTGTCGCCAGAGGTTTACAACGATTTCCATGAAAAACTTGCAGAGGCTTCAAGCAGCCTTGAAGACAGGGAAAAAAAGGTATGACACAATATTGTAATATTTTTGAATATATCAATAATTTATAAAATAGAATAATTATTAATTATAATTAGGTAATCTCATATATTTTATATATAGTTCATAAAGCACATACTGTTCTCATTTCATCATGATTATACATTTTAAAAGACAAATTATAATAGTATTTTTTTTAGCTGTTTGAATAATGTTGTGTGATTGGTTCATTTATTTTAGTGTAATTTGAATATTGCATTGTAATTTGCTCATTATATATAATTTTTTAATAATGTGCTGTAACATCACTTATATTTTGTAATTGTGAGCTGTAGGCCTATTTTTAGTTTGGTTAATGTTATTTTTATAAGTTGTATGCTATATTTACATTAGTTAAATTAATTTTTATAAGTTGTATGCTATACTTACATTAGTTAAATTAATTTTGTACTATTTTGAATATTTATTATAATTGATCATTTAGTTGAATGCAGTGTTTGAGATAGCAGAACAAGAACTTCACTTAGTTGGGGCAACTGCTGTTGAAGATGAACTCCAAGATGGTGTACCAGAAACAATTGAAAAACTCAGGGAAGCAGGAATAAAGGTAGGAATAAAAATTGTATTGTCTATAATGTCCTAAGCATGTTGCCTGGTGTGTCCTAAGCATATTATATGATGCTGAAGATGTTTTAATCTATTATTATGGATTTTTTGCCCATCACATTTTACCAGCCAGAGTGGATGGATGGATTTGTTCGGTCTAAATACCTAGGATAACCCACAAAAGTTTGGAGAAAACCTATTTACAGTGGAGTCCTTCTGGTGTTGATTGGGCAGTACACTGGAGTGTACTGCATTCTTTACTGTACACACGGGCCATAATGCACACAGGACCAATGGCTTAAATTTCCCATCCGAAAGGTGGTGCATAATTGTAACTTGCATTTCAGCCCTCCAGCTTCAGATCTCGAACCCATTTTTTTGCCCATCATTGGCTTATATAGTGTAAATTAAATATACTGACTGACCGACACTGTTTAAACATCAACTTTTTTCGGCAATACAACAATTTTGGGTCACAATATTTAAGGGTAACATGATTTTGTTGGAAAGATGTAACAATTTCAATATCAACTTTTTTTTAATTTTTTTTTTGCCCCCTCAAGGTTTGGGTGTTGACTGGTGATAAGCAAGAGACAGCTGTGAACATAAGTCATTCCTGCGACCACTTTAAAGCCAGCATGTCTGAACTTTACCTTGTTAAACAAACAGAGCCAGAGCAGATTTCCAAGTTGCTTTCTGAATACCGTGAAATGTGAGTGAAAAAAATTAATCCCTTCATTCTAGAAATTAAATATAATATAAATATGTTATTATTATTATTGGTTCCTATGCTGTATATAAAGCTAACAGACCTTGTGGTTGCCCTGTGTGTCTGTGAGGCTGACGTCATGAAATTCATTGAAAGATTGTGAACAAGCACACTTGAATTTCCAAACACCTGTTGGTTATGAATTTTTGCATACATGTAGTGTTGGTCGTGTAATTGTGCCCCATTGCTTGAAAAAAATATTGGATAAATATTAAGGCAATACACAAGAACTTTATTATTCCCCACCCCTCCATCCAAAACTTGGAAATATTCTAGTGTTGTATGGCACAGTGGATTATTAATAGTCTATTTTGATGAAATCCAGAAGCAGTTGGTTGATGATTGACCTCTCCAAATGGTAATTAGACTCTAGGAAATGTACCAAATATGCCATGACTTGCTTTAGATTACAGGGCGGTAAAAGTCCCTAACAATTCTACTGAATTAAGAATATTTAAAATATACATTTTGAGCTCTCTTTAAAGAAGAGTCCTAGGTTTGTTTCATTTGTTTCCTTATTTCTATTTACAAGTAGTGTAATATTTTACCAGAATGGTTAAATAGGAACATTGGTTCTCACAGTATACTATTAAAATATTTTTTAATGCAGAGATAAATCAGAAAAAAAAATAGACTTAAATGGTTAAGGCAGTGGTAGATAATTGCAAAGATGTATCCAAAGACAAAAAAAAAATACTTTCTAAACTTCAAGGCAACAAATTATACTATAAGACAGTACATAAATTTAAAATATTATGCAAGACATTTAACATCCTGGTGTATTTGTTGTTGTTCAGGGTCAATGGTAGTGGTACGTATGCATTTGTGGTAGATGGGCCTAGTCTGGCTCTAGCCCTTAACTACCATTCAGATGAGTTACTGCAGGTGTGTATCAAGTGCGTGGCTGTCCTCTGCTGCAGAATGTCTCCTCTACAGAAGGCTCAGGTAATAATCATCACAGCAGTATAATTGGCATATTTTTTAGGATTAGATTATCAATTTTACTTTCTTGGTCCATTTTTTTCATGTTTATGGTAAGTACATTGAGGTCTCCATAATATACGCTATGATATTATTATTGTTATTATAATTTCATGTTAACCAATTAGTCATATTATTATTATAACCACCATCTCGATTTTAAGAGCTAAGTGTTTGGTGATCTTGTCATGTTCCTGGTTCTTGCACTGTATACTCCTTTTTAAGACTTGGCCAGGACACCAAGGTTTTAGTTTGTGTTTTTGTTGCCCAGCTTCTCTAATAACCCTCATATGAAAGCTAGTCTCATCAAAGGATAATAATAATAAATATTAGTTGATTTCTATATAACATATAAACAAACTCCCAATGCACTGTAAATAAATTTAAATAAACCAGAATATGGATATAATGTTAAATTAATGAAAAACTTGATGGAAAATGAAGGTCCTTGTTAAAAAGAGTTTAAAGTAACACACTGTGTCACTGTGAAAGCCAATGTTCATTGGGAAAATTTTCAGTTTCAATTTACATTTACAATACACTTTTTGTGTCTCTGCACCCCCCGAAGCTGTAGATACTTTAGATATCCTCTCAGTTGTAAGTTGTGAGAGTAAATCCAGTTTAAGATTTCAAAGTTGATCATCGAACTATTTTAACTATGTGTATGGTATACAAAATTATGTTTAATATAAGATGTATATTAAAGAAATTGGAATAATTGATTAATGTTTATTATTGTTTAAATGTGAGCTTGATTTAGTCTGAGATATAGTTGTCTCAGATTTAGTGAGAGTGGAGTTACAAAAAAAAGAAAGGAATGATGGGATACCATTGCATCATCAGCTAAAGATAGAAATTAACAGTCAGTTTCCCAAGTTTAATTTGAGTCTTTGCATAGAAAGTACCCAAAAAACAGTGGGACACATGCTCCCACTTTGTATGTATTACTATCACCACCAACATTTTACTAATATTTCTACTACCATAATCAACATTACCATCATAGTTTTCATCATCATCCTCATCACCACTGGAATTATTACAGTCATCGTGACTATATTTCATGGCAATATTTTCAATGTATTGAAATTTGAATGTCTTGATAATAGTAATAATAATTGTCAACTTTTAATAGTGCATATTGTACCTCTATGCGCTTAGCATTATTACCCCCGGTCATTGGATCAAGCACATACGGAGCACGTACTCAGGTCCCTGGGGAGAATTACATAATGTTGCAGCTGTAATCAGCGCAATTTTTTTGTTTGAACCTACCAGGTGCCCACTTGTACTCCTTGGTGGAGAGAGACAATCGTAGGTTAAGTGCCTTGCATGAGGACAAAAGCGAAATACACAGCAAGGGATTGAACCTCCAACTTCAAGGTTGAGAAGCAGAATCGTATCCACTGCGCAGTCCTCAATCAAACATAATATATCATGATTATGATTTATGAAGTTTGTCAAGCATTGCCTACCTCATCTTTATTCCTGTTTTTGGACCATCACTTATTACCTAATTTATTTTTTGTCTAACTAGACTGTGAAACTTGTAAAGGAATCTGTGTTAAACCCAACAACAATGGCAATTGGTGATGGGGCTAATGATGTCAGTATGATACAAGAGGCACATGTTGGACTTGGTAAGTCAGTTTATTATTAATAATATTAGTACTAATAGTTTATATTATAATTAACTATATTTCAAAACCTATGGATACACAATGCAAATCTGAAATACTCAAACATCTGGGATTTAAAATCTCCCAGTCTGAAAAAAATAACAAAGTAGATCATCAATCTTTTTTCATTTTCATATTTGTTATTATATTGCTATGTGCTTCCTTTTTTATTTTTTAGGTAGCACTCAATGAATGAATTTAGGATGTGTCATTCCACTGCGGGACGTACCCTTCTCTAAATTCTTCCATCTTTCTCTGTCCTTGGCTAAAGACATCCACCTTGGAGTGTTTTCTTTTTTGTTGTCCATCCATCTTCTCTTTGGTCGTCCTATTCTTTTTTTTTTATTATGTAGCACTATGGAACAATAAATAACTAAATAATACTTTATTTAATAAACTGTACTGTTTTACCTTGCAGGAATTATGGGTAAGGAGGGCCGGCAAGCAGTGCGATGCAGTGATTACGCATTTGCAAGATTTAAGTTCCTACAGAAGGTTCTATTGGTGCATGGGCCCTGGTATTATATACGGGTTGCCATGACAGTACAGTACTTTTTCTATAAGGTAACTATGGGATGTTGGTGATCATGAACATAATTATTATCATGTTTTGTAATCATGATAGTGCTGATGATCTTTGTGATCATGATAACCATCATCATGTTATGATCGTCATAGGACTGATGATAATCTTTTTCATCATCATCACATTGTGATCTTAATGATGATCACCATCGTAGCTATTATTATGATTGTAGTCATCATGATCATGATAATAATCCTAATCATGATTGTCTTGATTGTGATCATGGATTTCATTTACTTAAACTTAAGCATTGTCCAATTTGATATAAAATTTAATAATTCCTTTTGTTTTTCAGAACATAGCTTTCATTACAGCTCAATTCTTCTATGCCTTCTACACACAGTTTTCTCAACAGGTAAATGATTGAATGAATGTATCATAAAGGTTATAAGTACATAATATATTTATTAAAGATTTAATTCAGGTGAATATTTGTGACACACCTGTGCTCTTCAGCAGTGTCATTTGTTATGCTGAAAAAAGGCACCTGTTGGATAAGAATAAAATTTGTTAATGAAGTTTTTGAAAAAAAAAAATGAAATAAAAAAGTTCATCCTGATTTATCTACAAACTACCATATCAATTTTGATTAAATCTTTTTGATTAGTTTATTATATTTGGAATATTAAAGGTTTTTTGGGCTCTTTTTTCTCCCTTCAGACTGTCTTTGAGAGTTTTTATTTGACATTTTACAATATTACGTGTACAGCATTACCAATTATGATATATGGAATTTTTGAGCAACACTTACCAAAGAAAATGCTGCTAAATAATCCACTGTTATACAAAGAAATATCCAAAAACTCAAGGCTAAGCCTTTGGGAATGCTGCTATTGGTGTGTTTTAGGTAAGTTTTCTTTATTCTGGTGAAAGGGGATGGGGAAGTGATGTCAGAGAGGAAATTCAAAGTCATGGTTAATTTTTAGAGATTGTGATCATAAATGCGAGCTGTCGTGAAAAAGGAGTATTGTGGTACGCCGGGTCAATTTGATATATTTAAGAAAATATATCTGAAGCGATATTTTAACAAAAATTGGGTTTCAATTTTTCTGATAAGTTTAGTATGTATATTTCATAGTAGCAAAGGTTCCGAGTTGAGTTACCTAAGGTAATCAAGTTTTTGAGGCACATTTTGTAAAGCTATTTTTCAAAATTAATAGGAAAACCAACACAAAATTTATTAGTTTTTTATCTTTAGAGGCAATATTTTCTTAAGTATGTTTTTAGACATCTGAAATTTAAAATGATCTTACTCCGGTTTTACTCAACATAGAAACATGATTTAAACACCAAAGTAAAGCTTATATATTCATCTATCTAAATATATATCAATAAACATGTTATATCGTCATTGCGGACTTATAAAATCTGCATACGCCTTAAAACTATACGTTTAATGCATACGTTTAGAGTCCGTACTGAGCCCCAAAAATCCGCAATGAAAATATAACGTAATAATAACTTATTTTTCATTTTTCGTACCACAAGACTTATTTTGTCATGATAGCTCACAAATGCTTTTTAGTGGGGGGTTGGTGTTGTGGCAGGAACCATTTAATTTCAAGGTAAATTTTTAGGGCGTTAAGCGAATCTTAATGGGTACATTGTTTGTGTGGTGAGGTGAGTGGTAATTCAATTTCAATGTTTTGCCCTAACACAGTCACAGGCTCAGGACCCTATTCACTTATGGTTGTTGGTAGAACCAAGTCTTCTTGAATGGTGGCTTAAAACTTACACACACACACCTGGTTCGTGCCTCTTAAAGAACCCAGTTTCACTTTTGTAACAGTGTTGGGGGGGGGGGTCACCTTGTTTCTCTGGTCAACTTCTGAATTATTTTGTTTTATGAAAGGATGACAGAGTGCCACTCTCTACAGCTGATATCCAAGCACTAATTACTTATAAATTGTTTTTAGAATATAAAATGCAAAGAAATTTGAAGGAAGTCTATTATGATGATGTAGTATCAAAGTCATACACATTATAATATGCTTATTTCATTCTTGCAGGTTTCTACCACGCCTTTCTTTTCTACTACGTTCCCATTTGGTTGCTAGGAGACGATATTGCTCTTCAAAAAGAACAACATGTAAGTCACACATAAAAAGTTGTGCTTTTTGCATTAATTTTCATTCTGATTTTTTTTATGTATAAAGCTCATTCTGATTTTTTTTATGTAAAAAGCTCATTTAAAAATTGGTTCTCTGTACCCATGATAATAACCAGTCGCATACTTTATCACCATTTCTTTGTTTTTACACTAACAGAATTTTGGGATCTGGAGTTTTGGTACAATTATATTTACAAATTGTGTGATCGTTGTCAATTTAAAGGTATTAACTTGAATTTTCATAGTAAACTAATGAAAACTTGAATTTTTTTATTCAATGATCTTTTTGTTTGCCTTTCCATTAATATTTTTGCCGACACTATAAAATTATGATATAAGTATTGTTAAGTTTTCTGAATTACTACAGTATTATTATGTTATATTTGATCGACAGTTAATTATTGAGACGTGTCATTGGAACATATTGGCAGTAGCTTCGATGGTGATAACAATAGTCGGCTACCCGACCCTGGCATCGATATACTCAGGAGTAATTTGGTAAGTATTTCAGAAATAAGATTATCAATTTTTAAGTCCATTGATACATTATTTGTCAGTGTGTGTAACATGGTTCACTTGAAATGTACAGTAGGTCATTGATGCCTCTTGGAACTTTCTGAAGAGTCAATCAAACTGACCAATCAGAGCTGGGAATATATGCGTGTCCTAAAAACACACATGTTTATGTATGTTTACGCTACTGTTTTGTGGACACTTGGGGTGGGGGCGGGACTTTTCAGAAATGTACTGCAGTATAACTTGACTCAGTGGTTAAAGTTTGCAATTTATCGAGAAATAAGTTCATTTACGGACATAGAGGTATTATAATAACTAGAGTGCTAACTAGGTGATGAAGGAATGCAGGGTTCTGTATCAGTACTCAAGATAGCCACCTTAGGAAAAGCGCCACCTTCAGGCTGAGTATACTTGTTGCTTGTATAGCACTTTTCCATTCAGTTACGATGCGCTGTAAGTTTGTTTTTCGTGGTCATTGGATCCACATGCTTAAGTGTTGCTGCCTTATTGGCGCAGTAGCAGGCAACCCCACCAGGTACCGATTTATACTCCTGGTTAGAGATACAATGAAGAGAAGCAATGAAGATAAAGTGCAATTGCTTTAAGGACACAAGTGAAATGCACAGCGAGGGATTGAAACCCTGACCTCGAGGTTGGCAAACCAAACCGTTCTCGCTGCCCCAAACCGCTTCTATACAGATTACTATGTAAATAACTAAAATAATATGTAATTCATCATTATAGCTAATATTATTAGAATAATTATTTAGCCTAACCAGGTCTAGTATAGTAACAGATTTTAAGATATAGTACTGAGAAACGTACAGTACAAAACAAAAATTGTGCTGCTACACTGCCATGAATAAATGTCACATTAGATATAAAATGTCCTGTTAAACTAATATTTGTGATCGTACCAAACTACTTTTAAATAATTCCCATTTTAGGATAAACAGTTTTACTTTGATTTATTTTGAATTTTTCCTATGTAGGTTCAACGTTACAGGGTGGTATGTATTCTTGTGATTAAATGTTGTAGTGGGTGGTGGTGGTGACAATGTTTTTTTTTATTTCTTTTATATATTTTACTCAAAATATATAATAAAAATATATAACGTAATTTGCTTTGCATACTAACTGTAATTCTGACACAATTCGGTGCTTTTGGCATGTGCTTTGTTATCTTCCTTTCCCTTTCTTGAAATTTCTAAAGTTACATATTTGACCTTTCTAACCTTATATTCATATATATATTTCTAATATTATATTCACAACACACTTTCCCACTTAATAATATTCGGCACTGATATCTAAGCTACCTCTCTTGTTTGTATACTTTTTTAATTTAAAATTGATTTAGATTTTGTTTAGAATTTGTGCTACTGAGGATAGGCAAAGTACAAACATTCACTTGAAGACATACCCATCAATATAAATATAACCCATACCCATCAATATAACCTATACCGACCTGTAAATATATTTAATTACAATGCACACAAGCAACTAAAAATCTATTGCACAATAAACTGATACTAAAAACATAAATTAACATCATTTAATGAGAAACACAGGCAACCTAAGAAGAAGCACATTTGTGGGTATAAAATGTGGAAACTGAAAGTCAGCTTTGTTTTTATAGCTATGCTTTGAATATTGAGTAAATAAATATTAAACATTCCACTTGAGTGTCTTAAATAAAACTCATCAATGATATTTAAGTTTGCCATGAATTACGCTAAACAAGGAGTGGAGTTGAATATTTCAGTGGTTAAGATGTTTGTCTTTTGATCCCAGGTTCCTGGGTTCAATTCCTGTCAAAGCAGGAATTTTTCTCACGATTAAAAACAACTCCACTACCTATTAAAGCCTCATAAAGAGGATTAGTTTATAAAGCATTATTCTCATCCTGTAAGTGGCGAGTGTACTTGCTGTTGGATGTGAGGGAAATGAAAAAAAAATAATAATAAACTCTGCATAACGGACAATCCCTGATGATAAATTTAGTATATGTACATTTCCAACATGCACAAATAAAATTACTAAAGTGATCACATGGACATTATTCTCTGACTGTATTAGTCAAATGGTATGTGCTTTTAGCATCTCTTGGCTTGCTCTTTGTCAGTATATGTTTTATCTGTATATAAATCTGTTATAAATTAATTAATAGACAAAACAGTATAACAAATATTATATTTTAGATAATAATAATAAATAAAATTATAATATTTTTTACTATTTTGGTTGAGTTTTACCTAATTGTTTACATCCACTCCTTTGCTAACCCTTTCAGTTTAATTACTATTTGGTGTGAATATTGATGATTTATATATTGATATAAAAGATTATATAATTATGTAATAGTGTTATATATATGTATATACTGTCTCTTATACACATCTAGATTTTTTTATTTTTATTTTTAAATTTCAAACTTCTTTTAACAAACAACACTAATATTCTATCCTTCACAGTTACGTCAATTATATGTAACTACATAATTTTATTTTATGTATGTCATTAATTATGGTAATGGTATTGGCAATACAGTGATAGTATGTTTTATGGCAAGTCTATGTGGTTATCTGCTTGTAATCCCATTTATGTGTGTGCAAGTACACCATCTGATGAGACTTAAGCCGTGGGTCTCGTGTGCAATGTGGCTCATGTGTACTTTAAAAAATGCAGTACACTATTTGGAAAAGAGTAGGGGATTGTCTCGCGGTGTGATATAGAATGAAGGGGCTGAACTGCAGATAACCAACAATAATAACAGTCCAGCAAAAGGCCGACGCGCTTGGATGGCAGTAGGCCAAAAGTCACTGTCACCTACATGTGTGCTTTAACCACTCCTACCTATTGATGTCATTTGCTTGTTAACAATTTCAGTGAGTGGTCTGTTTTCAGGTAGCTAATAATTCCAGTCAATCAAAAACTGAATAGATACTGGGACTTCACTCTCATTAATGATGTGATCTCCACTACCAAATTTTACTGTCTTTGATAAATTTCTCAATGCAAACACCAAATATTTCACACTATGTAGAGTATGTATATAACATTTGATAAATGTGTTATTATTTATAATTTCAGGGAAATCTTCAGTAGTACTAGCTTATACTGGGTGTTCTTTGAGGTTCATAAGACAGTATCCATGTGGTTTTGTATTCTTCTCTCCGTTGGGATGGCGTTCCTTCCGGACTTCATCTACAAAATGTTAATGTATTACTTCTACCCATCACAGAGTCAAATTGAACGGGTAAGTCAGAATTATTTTAAAATGATTTTTTATAAATAACTTGTAGTCTTATTTTTTTAATCACTTTTCATCATCATTAATGATTACTGTTGCTTGCCAATCACTGCTAAGTGTGTTACAGTTGTTATAATGTTATATCATCTATATTGTTATTTACTTGTATTATACTCTATTCTACTATTATCATTATTAATATCGTAATTGTTAATTCTACTATAATATTATACATAATATTAATATTATTATATAAAATGTTGTTCTTTGTTAGCTTTTCTTTAATTTATTGTCTGAGTGGTTGATACTGCAGTGGCAATTTAAGCCCTCAACTTTGAGGTCAGAGTTCAAATCTGTTCATTTAGTCTGTCCTAAGGCATCTTTGTCTGTCTCTGTCTACCTAGGTTTATATAAGTATACTGTAATATAAAGGTAAAATGTACTTGCTTATGTGGAAAGAGTGGCAGGCCCCCTACAGAATATACACCTCTATTTAGGGGACACTTTTTTTGGTCTCAAAGGTGTCCCTTTAGTAGGAGGTCTACTGTATTGCATTGAGGAACTTGGCAAAAACAGTAAAAAAGAGATAGATGCTCTGTTCGGTTTTGATTTGAACTTTACTTGATCTCTTAAATTTCTTTCTGTGGTGCATCCTTAATTTCATGTTATTTTGTTAATTATCAGATCAATCAAGAAAATTAATTATTTATTTCAAATCCAGCGTGTTCCCCTCTAAGTAAGAAAAATGAAACGTTAATCCCTGTGTTCGTTGTAGTATAAACACCAGTAGCAAGTGTCATGATATCCCTCTATTTTATATTATATAATTAAAAATATTAGATCATCAATCTGTTCATTATAGCTACAACTGGCTACTAGAGCATTTCAAATGCTCAGTAGTATTAATTATCATATTTTTAGAGAAATGCACAGTATGACAGGAAAATTATTGAAATATACAGTGAAGCTGTCATTAGCCAAATAGCCAAATCCTAATAAAAACTGAATTTGGCTAAATATTTTCATTCAAAATTAGCCAAAAAGCTAATGGAATTAAAGCTAAATTCCTTATATTCTTTTGTTTTTGGCTAATCAACTTTCTATTTGGCTAATTATTTCCATACTGAGTTAGCCAAATTGCTAAATATTGTTTTTGTCCAGCTTAAACTCTGGTACTGGCATATTGTTCCGATCAGAATGACAAAATAAACTAAGCATCCACTGGAAGGAAACCCAATATCTGCAGACGGATCCGTTTCGGCCTTCCAGGCCTCATCAGTGCAGCTAGGGTATAAACCCAAACTAGTCCCACGACCACTAATGATTAAAGAGCCAAACCAAGGCAATATATATACACAGCCCAGGTGTGAATGCAAATAGTGGAATACAAGCTATGTGGCTCGGTTCCAGTATATAAAGAGAATATTTTGTCACTCTTAACGCGTCCTACGAAATTCTTACAAGACAGCCCGTTTAAAATTTATATATTATTAAAGAATCTCTATTGAGATCAAGCGGACCGCCACTGATGCACGGTAGAGATGGCATCTTTAGATCTCCGATCTTGTTCACAAATTCACGGACTAGTGCTGTCTCGCCTCTTAGTTAATTTGTTTCTGTTTTGTTGCTTTCAAACATGTGTTCAACAAAATTTCCCCTTTTCTATTGTCTATTTTATGTAAATTTTGTGCTTTTTCTTATTTTTTTGTTGTTTCATTCAGATTTTTATGTTATTTTCTTATGTTTTCCTTTTTGAAGTACATTTCATGTCCAGCTCTTTCCATTATTTTTAAAAATTTCATTATACTGTTTTTAAAAGAATCTTGAATCTTAAAGAATTTTTAAACGATCTTAAATTACATTTTAAATAAGTTTTACAATTTCTATATATATATATTTATTGTTAAGGCAAATTTTACAGATTTTAAGTATTATTTCAATTGCTCATTATTATTTTATGTGTAATCGGAATAGTGCATTAGGAGACCTACATGATAGTGGTTTGGTTCACTTTTAGGAATCCTGTCTCGGCCTGTTTCAGATTTTTTATGCTTTTATTTTGTTGTATTGTAACCGGTTGTTGTTTTTTATGTATGTTATTGAGACAAAATAAATGAAATGAAATTAAATGAATGAAAAAAAAGGGTTGTGTCATAAAACTTACATACACAGCTGTGGTTAACCAAATGTGATTAGACATAGAGAAATATGATTGAAGATGTAGATGTTGAATTATATTTATTGAAATATTTTACATGTTTTAGCAAAAATCATCACCATGGCGAAGCATGCGTCAAGGACTTCAACCATTTGAACTCTTGGTGGGTTTCTACCATGGCTAAAATCTAAGTAGATTGTTGAAATTAGTTTCAACATGAAATTACATTTTTTGAAACATGGTATATTGGCAATTATTTTTTTTTAGTTTATAATACAACTTAATATCTGCATGGTTTTAACAAAGCACCTTGGCACTATAATTATTAATTCATAACTATTTAAAAATGTTTAACACTAAAAAAAATATAATGGTATTTTAAATATAACAAATAACACAAAAACTGCAATAATATATCATCTGAAAATATCTTTGATTATTTTTTTTATACTTTTCACATTAATTTGTCTTTTAAGGGAAGTTGTTGGTACAAGTTCTTACTTTGGGTGCTCTGCTTGTTTTTTGTAATTATAGTAGAGAGAAAATAATAATTTATGGAGGATAGTGAGATAAATTGTAGCTTGGAATGTGGTATGTCATACTAGAAATAATTATACTTATGTAGTGAAAAATGGGTTTGTTTAGCATTTTTTAATTGTAGATTGGTTGGTTTTTGTTCTCTTAAAATTAACCACATTCTGCACTGACCCATAACCAGAGGACATTCTATGGTTCTATTTATAACCCCCTTTTCAAACAATCTCTCTGATAAACCAATAATTCCCCTTTTCCCAGTTTTACATTAAATACCATTACAATGATGTCAAAGTTAACAATTCATCTTCTCCCGGTGACTTCAGTCTATCTGAGCCCCACTGAAGCTCTTCCATTGGACCCTAACAAGCACCTCTAACTAGTTAGTATTTTAACCCAAACTAATTTGCCACACCCCCACCCCAAATCTACAATATTGTTTAAGGAATATAAAGTTGCAATGACTATGGAGAATGCTGTCTGCATTTAATGCGTGGACTATACATCACCATGGTCTTGTGGGGGCGGGAGGGAAATTGTTCCTTCGACTGAAAATTTTCATGATAAAATGCCTGCAGCAAAAAATGTTATCTGTATGCTATATAGGCCAGTGATGGTCTGGAGTAAGCCAAAAAAAAAAATTAAGTAAAAAAAAAGTTCCCCTACGTAAAATCCGCAATATAGTCCAATGTTGGTTGTCTAGAGAGAAAAAAATGGGGAAATGCATGATGCCTCCAACTGAAAGTCCTGCAAGTGCACACTTTTTCTAGTCTTATACTTCATTTGCTGTACACTCATTGGTTTGAATCAGGCTGTTGGTAATGATCACTTGTCTGGGAAGAATATCTCATTGTAAGTATTAACCATACAGTATCAACTGGTTATTAAATTTGGGTCATCATTGGTCATGCAGCTCGGAATGCGGTGAATGCTCTCTTAGGGTCAACATCGAAAATCAGCATCATATTTTCGATGGCAGTTCTAAAATTTAAAACAATTTTTTATTCGGTGTTGACTATTTTGCATATACAAATGAACTCAGACTAGGATGGCAGAAATGCATGGAAATGGTTGTTGCCATATGAAACGTAAGTCCAATGGCTATACCACTGTCACCAACATGTTACAAAGGTAAGTGACGGCACTTTGTATCTATTGTAATAAATAATTAGACCACAGTACTAATATCGCATGCTTCTTCATTTCTATCACTCTTTCCATTTATTTCATGCATTCAGACAGAGGTGGTAGTGAGCCCCCACCCCAAAAAAACAAAAAATTGTTGTGTTGCACAAGCTTTTGCCAATTGGGGTCAGTCTGTCAGATTTTTTTTTTTTTTAACTTTAGGACTAATTCTAGAATTCATGCAAAGCATCGATCTCCCACCTCCATGAAATTATAAATGATAAATTTGCAATCACAATTATGGCTCATGTGCTTGTTGGAAAGAGTAGGGTATTGTCCTGTTTGTTCTGTTTGTTTACCATAGAAGGAACTACTGAAAATTTGTTGACCGAATAAATCTCATCCAATCCTATCCAACATTGAAAATGGCCTTTCGAAACGTCATACATATAATTTATTCCTTTTATTGGTAAAATAATAAATATTTATTTTGTCCATAAAAAACCCAAAATAATAATAAATATTTATTTTGTCCATAAAAAAAGCCAATCCTATTTTACAAAATTCCGGTTGGTTGGGTTTGGGCAGCACAAATAATTCTTTTTTTTTTTTTGGCTTAATCACTCTTTACTTCTATTGTCTTCTTTTTTTTTTGTTTTAAGAATATTGTATAACTTTTAATACATGTTACATTCAACATGCATAGTGACTAATTAAATTTTTCACAAAGTAGACTATTCTATAATTTAGTAATTTTGCTAGAAAATGTTACACAATTGTCAATAAAATGTCTATTCTCTTTCTTCTTTTTTTTTTTAAAGAATATTGTATAACTCTTAATACATACATTATATAAGTTTCATTCAACATGCATAGTAACTAATTAATTTTTTCACAAAGCAGACTATTTTATAATTAGTGATTTGCTAGAAAATCTCACATAGCAATTGTCAATAAGAAAAAGTAATAGTTATCTAAAATAATAAAATTATTAAAGTAATTTTATATTTGTATAGGTAATATAATACAATACTAAGTAACTCTTTTTAATTTGTTATAGGAATTTGAAATTGTTATCTTTAAAATTGCAAAAATATATATATTTTTGCTAAATTTTGACTTCTTGTAAATGAAAAAAAACCTTTTCTTATTTTTTTTTTAGTCTTGCAGCAGCAGAAAAAACTAGCCT